TTATCATCAGATAAATCTCATTTTATTAAAATTCTAAGATTTCATGTATTTCAGATGGACTTTCTGATTTCCTGATCAATAGTACATTTAGTTAAAGTCACGGAATATTTGTTGCTCTTCCACTGTTTTCGAAATATTAAATACTCCAAATGATACATCCTATTTGCAATTTCTTTGAAAAATTTTCGCCTTGATCCAGATCATATTCAGGAAGATTTACCATACCGATGTAAACACTACTTCGCCTAAAATGTATCGCTATATACTTATATGTGTGTAATCATTAACAAGGAAGAAATACTGTTCAATTGAAGCAATGAGTGACAGGAGGTTGTTATTTAACACTAAATTTCTTTTTGAGGGTGTCATTTGATTGATTAGGAATTCAATTTTAGATTTAAATTTAGGTTCAGCTACATCATAATTGAAAGGATAATCCGAGGGTCATCTTGTTGATCTAAATTATAAGCATATAACTACGGAAATGCTTGACGTTTACACATGTATTAATAGTAATATATTGCCAAAAAGCACAAGAGAATGTATCTAAAAAAATTATAAGGAGATAATCTATCACTTAATTCAAAAAATATTTGTTAAACTAAAGATCACAGAACAATGAAATTGGAAGGGAATGAAAATAAACAAACCATCGATCACAATAAGATCAATTTCATTTAGAAAGTATTTTTCCTCAAAAAATATGTTTCCGGAAACACATTTTGAAATTGAAACATCAATCACGGAAAAAAGGAAAGAAAATGATGGGAAAATTGCGCAACGACGGGTTTTAAAGTTTTATCTGCAAATCAAACTTGAAAATTGCTGCGAACATTGCTCATTCATGGAAAAAAGAATTTGCAATGATCGCTGGTACTATGAATGCTTTCCATTGGATCAGTGATAATAACTCTTCAGAAACGTCCTTATCTCATCTTATCTTTTGTCTTTGATATCAGCTCATATCAAACTCATAAAATACTCATTTAAGTTTGTATTTACACATAAACATGATACGGCAATGTTTGCAGGACTCCAAAAATAGTTTCTATCTTCGAAAATTATTCTTTTCGATATGTGTGTACATAGATATGTCTGTATCTGCATGTATATGCATATGTGTTTGTACATGTATGTGTGTGTGTGTGTGTGCGCATGTGTGCACCATTTTGCGCATAGCTGGAATTCCTTAGCATTGAAGAACAGGCTCCCGAACTCTATTCTCTCTCGGAAAACTACAAATACTGAATGATTTTCTAAAATTGTCTTCTCCCATAGCATGTCCTCTTTTCTCTCTCTTTTTCGCATCCCTCTCTCCCTTTTTCTTTCTCCTTTATTTATTTGTTCTAAAAATTCCTAAAATTTTTCTATCTCCCCGAAACTATCATTTCATAAACTTTTTTGTGTAATTGCTTCTGAAGTTAGTAGCAATGTTATTGGTGAGCTGATTATTCAATGTTTTTAAAATTCCTTTGTTTTTCATTCATTAAAGATTTGATATTTATTGAAAAAATATTTGTTTGTATTAAAAGAGATAAACAACTGATTCTTTACTGTAATTTATCGTACTTTTCTAAGAAAATAGCTTTAAATATTATAAAGATTTCTTATTGAAATGAATAAAATTAAACGAAAAAAAGAGAATTCTCATAAATTAAGTAATATAATGCTGTCAGCAATAAGGTGGAAGGAATCATTTCTTAACTATTCATTGAAGACTTATCAAATTGTGTCACATTTGTTATCAACCTTTTTATTTTGCTTACATATCTTTTTCCACTGAATCGTATTATTGTTCAACGCTATCATCAATCCTCACTAACAGCGTCTCTGCTTTTATTGTTACTAAACAAGAAATAATGTACAGTGTATGCATCAAAGTGAGAATACCTCAGATTCTATCACTCATCACTGAGCAATACTTACTTGCCAGATTATACGTGCCAGATGCTTTAAGCGTCAATGTCAACTTCCATTTATTCGTAAGTTTATTACTTCAGAGGAAACAATCTTTTTTTTCTCAATACCTTATTGAAATAAACGTTAAAAAAATTTTCTTCGTAAAATGTGTTGCTTATTCTCTGATAATATTATTTTACATTGGTATGTCCCATCGATTCACTCTATTCTTATTTTTCTGCTCATTTTCTCATTTTCGATCATTATTATCAAAGAAGTGTGTCGTGTGCTATCCACAGTGAAATGTGTCATTCATATATATTATGATATGATACGATATTAAATGATATCATTTGACATGTTTGTATATATCTTTCTGTTCATACCTTATCAATTTATATACCTATCCAAGTGATTTGTATATGTTTCTTCGCATCTTATGCATAATTACTTTTACTTCTTATTACTCTTTTTGTAATTTACTGTTGTATGTTGTAAGTGTAGAATTTTTATGCTAAAATAGAAGAAATAGTGGTTATGTCTTTCTTTCATCACCGATTTGAAATTATTTGCTGGGCAATTAAATTTGGAATGCGGCAGTATTAATACATCTTTTTCTCTCTCGATTGCTTGCTATTTAATGAATGGACCAATACATCATTTTGGTAAAATGATCAATGTATCTTTTTTCCAACATTTGCCAAGATGAATATGGTGATTCTTAGATTATCTCTTTCTTCAGATATATAACTGAATGATAACTTCAGATATATAACCGCAAATTTTTCTCTACCGAATCTCATGATATATCGAGAAATCATTGTCCTCTTTCTCTCTCTCGAATTTTACCTTCGTAACTCAAGAGAGCTATTTAAAAACTTTATATTTCGTTGTGAGAATTAAAAGAGGTTTGACTAAAAAGTTAAGCGAACGAATTTATTACTTCAAGATTATTTTTCTGTTTCCTTTTTTTTAAAAAAGAATATTAATAGATACTTTACAAACGATTGATGAATTCCGACGATTGGCATCTTCTTGCCAATGAAATGATGCAATTCAATTTTACTTTTTAAATTTGTTATGTAAGATTAATGCCATAACTATCTTTTCACAAATCGAATATTATACAAAGTATTTTTGTTAGATGAATGATTTGCTCTTTTTACTAATTAAGTTTGCAACTTTTTCATGTAGAAGGTTAGGATTGAGGAATCATTGTGGATAATTTAGAGGAATGCATTCTTTTTTTAATTGATTATTTAATAAGAATAGTAATTCATTTCAACTTCAAATTTTTCACTTTCAGTTAATTTTAAATGTGGAATTCATTTTTATAGCTGTATATTTAGATTTAAAATAGTAGAATTGAAGTACATATGAAAGAAATGATAATAACATCAAGGGTTCAAGCTATGATTTTAAAAATGAAAGTTGTGATTTTCTCCTCATTTAAGTTGTCACTTTCTCGTAACCAAAATTCATGAAATTTTTTAAATTCTTAAAATCTAAAAAGTCTCTGAATGCTTCTTAATTAATGTTCTCTTCGTTCATCATTATTTGTACATCAATAAATTTTTGCACATAATTTGTTCAGTTAAATGAATTGCTAATCTATTATTGATCAATATCAAAGTATTATTGTGGAAAAATATCGTCTATTTTCTTTCTCGATGGAAGATAATTCTGGGAAAAAAATATTCAAAAGATATTTTTGCTTAATTAATCCCCAAAAAATGATTATTTGTAATGAAAAATATTAACTGTATTGACGACACTGTTATATATTTAACAATATCATTTTCTTTTCACTCATTTTGTCATCATCGTTAACGGAATTTTGTGTTTTCGGAATGCAGGAATTAGATGTTGAAAAAATGATATGTTTGCTCAAGGTTGTGCGGTGTGGTACATAGAAGAACGTGAGAGGAGGGACAAGAAGACGAGGTAGAAGAGTTGATTCATTTGACCTCGAATAGCTATACCATACCACCGAAATGTCCCTTCCTTCTTGACCTGTCACTTTGCTTTCTCCTCTTCCGCTCGATTGATTCCTTTCAAAATTAATTGCTAGTTATTTGCAGGCAAAATCATTTCTAACATTTATGGATTCAGTTTTTTTAATTCCGTTTCTTCTATATTTTTTTCAAAATTTTACCTGGATTATTTTATATCATTTATTGCTTGAATCTATCACTTTTTATCGATAATAAGTATGAAATTTTTTAAATATGTTCATTTACTTTTTTTATAGGTTTTTGCATACTTCCAAGTCGAATTACTAATTCAAATTTTATCATTTAACTGGCAATGAACCACTTAATTACAGACTTATTTCATTGGTGTTTGATACTTCGATTCATCCTGATAAGTAAGAGGAATATCAGAAATAAACAATCCACTCAAATTATAATAAATCAATGATTCAATCTAAGGATTGAAGTTGCAATGAGTTGCACTTATTGCTTTAGTTTGGTAAGACAGTTATGTTTACAAAGCCGCCTCTTAAAATATTTGAGGTATTTCCACAGTTCCATTCAGATATGTATCGTTAAGTAATTTCGAAAAGAATCTGTTTTAAATTTATCGATCTAGATAAAGAACATACTATTAGATGATACTGAATTCTGAGTGTATCTTTTTTGTATCGGAGTGATTTGTATTCAAATATTGAGTGAAAAATTGACGGAAAAATTCAACGTATTCATTTCTTCTGGAAAAGTGAAATTAAAATTTTCATTTTTTATTTCTGACGAAAATTAAGAAGTGCTATATTTTCACGAATATTAACATTATTTAAAATCAAATCGTAAAAGTAAACAATGATTTTATTTTTCACTTATCACAATTATCGATATATTGTTTTTAAAAGTATACCATTTGTTTATGTTTGGACTTTATGAGTAAGATATTAGCATAAGCTTTCCTCAATTTTATTTATGATGCTTAAGATGTAAATATTCTGTAATTGCGCACATTACTGTTGAATGTTGGATGGACACATATTTGCGTGATGAAAGCGCTATTTTGAGAAAATTATAAAACTATATAAATATCGATCTATCATTATTGTAGTATTATCAAGAAGATACCAAAAGAAAGTGATGACGGAAAATGATGAAGTGAATTCATGTAACGGTTCCAGTTCCTGTTGCTCTTCTCGAATACCACCTTTAAGTGATTCGGAACAACGCTTATCTGAATCGGATGGACCAAATCACGGCTCTGAGGATCTTCATCATTTCAACAATGATTATGTAAAAGTTATTCCATCACTGCGTACAACAATTCCATCTGGTTACAAATATCTTCAGGTGCAAACTCTCACAAAAGAGACTATCACACTTGCTGTACATGTTAGTACTTTATTTTCGTGTTATATTTGAGGAACGCTGTTTGAAATAATAAAGAAATATGAACTCTTCCAATTTTCAACTAAGTTGAACTGAACCAAGCTTTTCAGATCACATTCCTTTTACCATAGATACATACTGTAACCATATGAAATTATTTACTAATTTTAATCAATCATAAATTTAAGCATTCTTTTATAAATCATTTCGATTATTTTTTATTTGATATGAAAGAGATACGACGCATTTAAGGAATTTTGCCCAAGCCATTCGTATTTTCATCAATAAATGATGCTTGCTATCGTTTATTATGATGATATTATAAGAAAATAATTAGGAACCTTTGCCCTCTTTCATAATGAAAATAAGTTATGCAAATGTATTTCATCGTCATAAGCGAAGTTAAAATAAGTAAATAAATTTAGTTTTTTATAATCTTCCATCTCTTGCATCAAATTTTGTAATTTAGTTTGACAAAATGAAAAAAATTTTTTGGAGACGAGGAATTTCTTTGCATTATTATGAGAAGTAATGATACTATGCAGAAGGCGATAAGCAGAAGCATTTTTTCATTTATTGATGATGCTTATTTGCATTGCATCCTACTAATAGTGCTATTGTTGTTGTTGAATCGCATTGCTGATACAATTAGATCATTAGAAAGTAAATGTATCAAAATCGTCGGCGAAAAATAGCTTCCATCAATTCATTCAGTACTTCTATTATGAAACCAAAGAGTTTCCTGAAAGCATTTCTGATAGAGAAATGTTTGTTAAGGAATAATCTAATCTACGATGATGGAGCTTTAAATAAATCCTTATTTTTTTAATTTTTATATTACTCTGATTTAAAAGAAAAATCTATGAAAAAATGATTTTCAGATGAAATGTCGTGTGAAGGATGCATATTTATGCTGTTGTGCATATCTTGGTTTTAATGAGGAACGATTGTTTGGCTTGGCCCTTCGAACACCCTCTGAAGGTATCGGTGGTGATCGACCGAGAAATGAATATTTTTTTTTAGACCCAAATCGGAAAATAGCAAAATATGCTCCAAAACAATGGAAAATATCACATGCATGGGTTGGTGAAAATTATAATTCGAAATTTTTAAATGTACTACGGACGTAAGAGTTTTACAAGTCCACGATTATATATACATAAAGCATGGCATGTATTTACCAATAGTTCACGGTTGAAACCATATTTTTTTCATTTTTGATTGGGATTTTACCTTGAATCTTCTAAGTCTTATGATTTCATTGCGCTTTAATGCACTTTTAAAGAGATGCTCAACAGAATACGTACTAAAACGGCAGGAGCTGTTACAGTTGACTCATATTAGTTGTCATGCACTTATTTAAAACACTCTTTCAACGGAACACACCCATTTGAAAAATTCGATTTTAAAAGTAAATTTAAAGTAATTTGTATTTGCATGCCTTTGCTCTTATCTATAGTAGTGCTACTGTCTTTGTAGTTCACAAATTTTAAAAGATTTTTAGTCGTATTGAACTTGGAGAACATTTAAGCATCTTAGACGTCATCCATTTAGTTACTTTTCATATATCAAAAGTTAGGTGCAGTTTTTCTAGGAATAATTATAATAATCAATCTATATTGAAAATAAATATTAAATTAATTTTAGAATGCCGTTGTTGAAAGTCGCCCATTTTTGGCTCTTCATCTTCGAGTTCGCGTATTTGTGGACAAAGCATGTGCAATTGGGTGAGACTAGCATTTATCTTTTAATAAATTACAAATAATTGAAATATTTACTGTTCTTTTTAACAATGTAATCATGCTTATTTCCATCTAATAGATTATCGAGAAGTAATTTCATTAGATTAAAGACTGTCACAATTATAAATATAATTTATTGTAGTAAATTATATTTATACATATAGCAGTTCATAAGATATGAAATGAATTTATGAAGTTGTTTTTCAAAAAAAGAAAGAAAGAATTTACTGTTATGCTGTCAAGTAGATTCCATCGGTTCATAGTAACGGAAATACTGAAATAAAAGTTCTCAAAGGTTGGGAAACTAATATATTATTTTTTTGTTCTTGATATTTGTTATCACTAAAAAACATAAATTTACAGATGCACTACAACTCTCAGGTATTATTACCTGCAATTGCGCGAAAATCTCTTAGATCAATGGTCAGGTTCAAATTCAGTTGCTGAAGAGCGCTGCTGGGAACTTGCTGCATTAGCGTTGCATGCTGATGAAAATGACAATGATCTATTGTAATTATTTTTATCGAATTTCTGTGCTAATTAACAAAATCCAATCGAAATTAAACATCAAATCACTAAAATGTTGCCATCGAGCATGGCTAAAAACATTTGATTATTAGAGAAATGATTGACAATCGATATTTTATGCACTAATTTTTTGGCTACATGCATTTGCGAATATTTAGTTTAAAGATTGATTATTGTTTTAAATTGTTCAATTTTTTGCAATCAGTAGCTTTGTATCGTCCATTACTATCCAAAAATTTTTTACAGATCTTTCCGAGCCGAGCGTTATTTTCCTCTTTGGGTAGTGAATGTTCATGGTCTCGATTTTGTACGACGTAATATGCCTGCGGTTCGTGAAGATCTCAGAACATGCTCGAGTAATGATGCAATTATAGAATACTGTCAACACGCTTCTCGGTGGGTTTTATCCTTTATTGCTTTTTTCTTCGACTATTAGAAATAAATGTCAAGTTTTAAAAAATTTGTTGCACGATAACAATTCACTGCGTGATCACATCATTACCAGTCATCATATATTGAAATCAGTGATATAGCGAATTCATGATCACTTTGCAATTTAATTTAGTAAAAAAAAATTGTAATTGCAGAGCACCGTTCGCCTTGAACTGTCATTTGTATGGATTACGAAGGCATAAAATGGATACATTTGATAATGCAGTTATTGGAATTAGCCCGAAGTAATTTCTTTTGAAATAGATTATCATAAAAATCTCTCCTTTATTTTTTAAAGATTGCTAACATTCCTGAATATTTTCAAGAGGGATCGAAACATCAGATGTAGGCAATGATGGAGAAAGAATTCCGCTCCGTAAGCTACAATGGAATCGTATAGCAAAGTTGAGCTTTGACAAACGAAAAGTGACAATAACTGGAGTGGATGGTGTGAGCTTATCGTTATACGCTCAATTTGAGGATAAAGCTCGCTATTTGTTGGAATTTTGCAAAGCTTTCCATCAAGCAACTTTATTTATCAACAATCAATTTGCATTTCGTCAAAATCATACCAGTGAGCTGTGTTTTAATTTCAATTTAATTAAATTTTGCCATTCATGCAGCTTTGCTAATTTCACTTCATTTCCTTCCTGAAGCGACAAATTTGAAAGGTTTCGAGCTGCAAAATACTGATTGAATGTAAAAAGACAAGTCATCGGTTAGAAATTCAATAAATGTTCAGTTAAAAATATTATGAAAGGATGACCTCACTAAAATAAGATTAATTTTATATAAGCTATGGATTTTCCACACTTGGTATTCTTCATAGCTCAAATCACTTTGCTCCAAAAAAATATATTCAAATAATTTAACTTAATACCAAGTTTAGAAGCTCAGTGATATATTATTTTGCTTTGTTTAGCAAGCATGAATTCGCCTCTCTTCTGCACAGATGATCGTTGCTTAGACGATGCGCTCTACTCTCGACGTTCACTTAATTCACGTGCTTCCAGTAATAGCACATCGGGAGTTGTTTCCGATAAATTGGGAAGCGAAGCCGATAAAGGTAATTTCAATAATTCCAAAAATTGTCTGGAAGAAATTGTCTTCAATTTCTTGAAATATTGCATAATAATTGCGCTAATTGATTGAGAATATGGCTAAAATTGATTTAATATCAATTAAAATTCCACAAAAACATTTAATGGGAATAAGTTATGGTCACAGTTTGATGAACGATCGATCAGTTTATTTCATAGATTTTGTTGAGCTGAGAGGAAATAAATGTTGTAGATTGTGAGTGGACTGATACGTGCGGTGTTGCATCAGATTGTTCATGTGAAGAAATACAACCTTTTACGGTGGAAGATCTGACGGGAGAATTGGACAAGACATCAATTCATGCACTTGCTGAAGTTGTTATCAGTACCCAGGATGAAGCAACAAGTACAGAGAGTGATACTCTTGATCCCAATACTTCCTCGTAAGCTCTCTTTTGTTGTAATTTTTACATTTAATGCAGCACTATCTGGATTTGATGACTGATATTTTGGTTGATTCGTAGTCACAATAGACCTGAATAATGTATAAGCTTTCCAAGTGAAAATAAGCATTTTGCGTCTATTTCCTAATTATTTAAAATGAAGCATTCCGTTACACATATCTTATATAAAAGGGCGCAAAACTGAGAGTGATCTTCCATCTTCGCTTATTTCTATATATGAAGAATTCTCGCTTCCATTTCAATTTATTAGCATCTGATTGTGATTTAATGTACTATGAAATCTTGAAATGAGTTGTATAGGCGAAGTAAAGAAGCAAATTCATCAAAAAAGGTTACTGAAATAACAGACGAAAAGGCAATCTTCGTCTCTTCCGACAGCTCTGTTACAAAAAATGCATCTCATGCGGAAGAAGTGAGTTGTCTTTCTTTAAAATTAGATTTTATTTGAGACAGATTAATGTAATTATTCTTCAGTGTCTGCTGGCAGTTAAATTATTAATTTAAAAACTAATTAAAAATGAAAGGGTATAATTTGAAAGATAAGTTTTCACAATTGTATGGTAAAAGTTTTACAATGTGTTAGATTTGGCCACTGTTGGTATGAGACTTAGTAAAAATTCAGATAGAGAATAAAGAAGGAATGGGAAATGTCGATAACGTCTTAGAACCCATCTTAAAGAAGCGATCATTCACGGAAAGCGATACAGGTAGTGGCGTAAACAGTATTGTTATGCCACTGATTCTAACGAAAGTGGATTCTTGCAGTCAGAAGGTTTGCTAAACTTTATAAACTAATAATATTAGCATAGAGATTTCATTCGATCTTGAAGTCTAATCGTGTCTCATATCGGCTCGGCATAATGAGATATTTTTATAACTACTTTTAAAATATTTTTCGAGCTTGGTTATTTCTTTTGCATTCATTTTTCATTTTCCTTTCTTATTTGAATATTTATTTTAGGACTATTGCGATGAAACAGAAAAAAATGAAGTAATAATGGATGGGATCTTGAAACAACCTCCACAGTACAGTGAAACACTAGAAGCTTTTCACACACAAAATAAGCTTCAAATTCCTTACCATCGACCAAATCCAAATCCAAATATGAAGCCAAGATGGATTACTGTGGCTGGTGTCAGTCATTCTGGACCTACTGTTTCCTGTCCACTTGAAACATCCACACATCTTACTTATTCCGAACCGAAACTTCATTATCAAGTATTTCATTTTTGATAATAATTTTCAAAAAATAAATTAATTTTAGTGAAACAAACTTTGAGTTTAACTCTAGAAAAACGAGCATTTTTCACTCATTTTTCTAATAAGTTTATTATTTCAAAAGAGATAATACGGGTATAATTACTGGTACTAAATCTTTTTGTTCTTTTTTTATAATGAATTTATTCTTTGTAGATGTATACGAGATCGGGATCTCCGTTAACATCAATGCCTACCACTTCACATCAGTTACCATTAGTGGGATCACCATCGCGCCCTTCATCCTCTTACACACCATCTCTCATACGTACAGGTGTAACTGGTGGCTTATTTCAAAAACGTCATGGACAACGTATACTGCATGGCACCGCTGTCCGGGGAATTAATCGTGTACAAAGCATGCCAGCACATAACTCACAGCATTATGTTGATAATGTGAGTTCTTCTGCTCTTTTAAGTATGTTGGAGTGGAGATTGTTGAATTTTCAAAAAATTTTTTACTAATTTGGGTAGGTATGAAATTTTTCCTCAGAAATCATGAAGCTAAGTTAAGGATTTTTCCCTTTCTTTTTAAGTTTATAAAATTTAGCAATTAAAGGATGAGCCGATGCCATTATCAGCTGCACCAGCATCAATTAAGCATTCACAATCATCCCCGGGAACACGATTTCCTGCTTTTACAAAACAGCCACCTCCTTACGAACATGCCATCTCGCAGGTTCATAACTACTTGAATGTTAATCAGAAGTCTTTAGCAACGAGTCGATGAGTCTGATGTAACAGTTTGCTTAAAAGAAAGCATAATTTAAATCTTTTGTCATTTACTGAATCACCTGACTTTTATTTATTGACGGTTTTAACTTTTTAGAAAATTTAAAAAGTTGAAAGTTTTATTTATAGCAAGCACGCGCACGTTATGCACAGAAGAGTACAATAACACCATCATATCCGAGTAGCGTACCAAAAGATGTTTTATCTCAGAGACATTCATATACCAGTGATCATGAAGAAATGACTTTAAATAGTCGTATTCGGCAATATCCAATGATGAGAGCTTTATGGCAAGAGCATCAGCAAGGTAAGTGAGAATGAAATTTTATAAAATATAGCATAACTTCTCAATAAATAATTAGGAGTCTCAAAATTTGATGAAATGGAACAATTTGAAATTGAATTAAAACGGCTTCTGCATAATTGAATTAAAACGGCATTTTGCACAATTTTAACAAATAAATCAAACTTCCTTTTAGGTTCTTGCACTCAATTAGCGACAAACTCAAATTCAACTACTCGACTTGGTGTACCATCTGTATCCAACCCGATGTTATCCTCGTTGAATGCAGTATTAGATGATTCTACAACAACTGATTCACAGTTACAGCGACCATCTTCATGTCAGGAACTTTCGTCATCTGTCTTAGTTACAATATCACCACATTTGACCTCAACCACTTACGATTCTCGACAAACTACAGCGTATACGTCGCGGCCATCTACCACCTGGACACCGGTTTATCACCGGGAACTTTATGTGCCGGATCCATCACCACCATCATGTTGCTACTATTCACCGTATGCTGCTGGTCGAAATCAGATGAGGTAAATATTACTATTTTCTATTCCATCTTCTCACTTTATCGATGACTAATTGTTATCATGACTAAACGTTATCAAGGAAAGCCATAACCATGTTGTTTCTTCATTAGCTGTGGTAGTTGTTTGAATGGATATTCTAGTTCTCACTCTTGTTAAGTCTAGTTAAACCCTCAGGCGATCTTTTATTTATGTTCACAACTTACCCTAACATTGATGTATCATGAAGCTTTTTGGTAAATTTTATAACACATCAATTCGAATTCATTAAGATCGTATCAGTACAAATGAAAATAATTCCGCCCTCTCATTTTTCACGGTAATGTTTCTTCTGATAACTTGATAATTGTTTTGCTCGGTAGAGATTTCTGCATTGCAGTATCTCTGTATTCTGTCGGTAGTAAAGAATAGAAAAGAGCGTATTCTACTGTTTGATCGACTTATATATCGACGTATTACATTATAAAAGGGAGGAAATGAATGCAGAAAAAGGATTAGATTTTGAATTTAAGTTTCATTGACTTCGATTTGTTTGTGCTAAAGAATTCGGCCAAGGAATGCTTATTTGGGAAAATTTTTCTTTACGAACCATCCCAGTTGGTAAGGAATTTTAGATTAGACTCATACTGACTTCGGCCAAGGGTCTTAACAAAGCTTGCAACCTTAGAATCTACAAGCAGAAAAAAGTAGTCACATTGCCTTTTGCAGCCATTCCGCACAGTTTGAACATTTGCAGAGCAGGACGAGCCGTCCGAGACAATGAAAAGTCGCAAAAAAGTGGATATACTTGTCCTCTGATACCAGTGAGTGAGGAGTGCATGCTTGTCTAAGACAAATCTCGAGATTTCAAGAATTCGATAAAAAAGACCCTTAAATTTGCACACATTTCCTCTATTCCATAGCTATTGCTATTCTACATATTTTATTTGCATTCAGTTGGATTCTGTCACATTCGGTGTTGGATTTGCCACCGCCGCCGCCCTATCCGCCACCGCGATGTCCACCTTCACCTGCGACAGCAAACAATGCGCAAATGGTTGCCTGAATATTTACTCGCTTGCAAATCTTACGTACAAATTTAACGTGATTTTTTTCATTCCTGCTAATTTTTGTAATGTATGACTAGTACTTTGAATTTCAATTCCTTATGGTCGTTGTTTATTGTTTCCTAATTTAGTTGGTGTTCAATTTAGGATGAAAAGAAGGAAATATCAGTAATAATGAGCAACATCTCTGCTTATAAATATACAGTGAATAAATATTCACTGCGTTTGAGCTCAATTGAATTCCTTAAAGGTCCAGTAAATAATACTGATTATAAGAATTTCATAAATTTTAATTTTTAAACTTTCTTCTTTTCTATTTAATATATTTTGGACGAGCTGCCTCATTCTGAGACTTCTGAAACCGTTTTTCGCAGTAACAAGTTTCTTGCTTATCTTGTGCTGTTGATTTAGTGCGCTGTTGCGAAGGAGATCTTCCTTTCTCATCTTTTTCTTGTGAGATATGCGAATTCAATCAATAGTTAAGTAAATTAACTGTTCGCTTAATTTTAGATTAACAAAATCTCCGAAGCGATCATATTAGTTTGGGATCAAAACTTTTAAGTTAATCAAGAAGTGCCTTATTATTTCTGGATTGTTAACAAAAGATAGCTGCATTCTTTGATTGCTTGCAATTTTTTTTAAGGGATAGATATGAGATATGTAGAAAGGAGCGCAATTATCCCCTTCAATTACTACATCCACCTGTTGTACAAAGTCTAATGTGCCACTTATTTGATACTGCCATTATTCATGGTTAAATCGACAATGTTTCCTTCCTCTTTCAAAATTTTATTCAGTTTCTTTCACTTTTCTTACTTTTTACTTTTCTCATTTCTCTTTTCCGTCTTTTTCTTTTTTTCCGAATGCATTGATCATTTGAATAGATTTTCCAGGTGCATTGAAATTTTGAAATTTTGTTAATTTAATGGAATCAAGCATGCATTTCATATTCATATTTCCCTGTTGTATGTTCAATGGATTCATTTTCGTGAATAATTTGTCTGTGATGTTCTTTTCATCGATCAAATTTATGGTTGAGTAATAAAATATTGTTGTATTTTGTTATCATCCAAATTAAATGTATATGTTTTTCACTTAATTTGACCATCGTATTTTGCCAGAGAGATAACGTATTTTTACAACATTTGCGGAAAGCAAACGAGAAGAGGAAGAGGGGAATCATTTTTGGATTAAGAAGCTCAATTGGAGCTAATTCAACAATGCTAACAAGTGATTATGAATAGCTTTGAAACGCCGCTAGGATTTTGAATTAAATTCAGCGATCAGACGGGATTTATTATGCTGCGTATTAAAATATCTCGTCGAATAAAACGCGTTCATTCATCACAATTCGTTATCAGCTGTTATATATTTCTTTGATTTTAAACTGCAAATGTCGATCAAAGCTAATGTGAGGAGATTTCGGTAAATGAGTAGCACGGTTAATAGCTTTCCATCAAACTTTTCTTGAATTGGAATGATAAATTAGACAGTAATCCATTGATTATTCGTTTTCAATAGAGAAGAATTATGATGTGTTAGCTTAATTCTTAAAAAGATAACTGTGAATTTATTATTAAAAGAACAAATTTCATTTATTTTGTTTATTAGTTTTTGAAGAATTAAAAAAAATGAAGAATCAGTGATTTTTGATCTTGGCCAACATTATCTTTACTTCAATTTCCTCTTAATCCTGGATTATAGCTGAAATGATCTATTTTCGACAGTTATTATTTTACTTAACAAATAAGATAAGTCCGAGTTGTTTTCTCTTCACATTGCATCATCGACCTTTCATTTTCAAAATTATTAAATTTGTTATCACATTTTCAAGAAATGTAATTATTTATGCTTTGAAGAAATATTATTTTATTATATAAGATGTTTATTATTTTCTTTGTTTAAATTACGTTTCGAATGTTTGAAAAGAATATTAATAAAACATTAAATATATATTTTTGATTGCAAATGTTTCGTTTGCTTCTACCATTGATGATTCGGAAGAAAAATAAAAAGATCGCAGTATTGATTTCACTTTTGACCCTCTACATTTTATGTTCACCTCTTACATCTTATTTACCCATTAGGAATGCTTGACTTACATGCATTGCATATATTGTCGCACTGATGAAAATGATAATTCATTTTTCAATCCGATATTTTTAATGTTTTGCTTTCTCCTTCAAATCAAACATAAATTAGGCTAATAATGGCTATCCATTAGTATTCTTTTTTCGCATATTGCTAAGAGCAAATTTATCTTTATTTCAAAATATTTTAAAAGTCTTTGAAAATTAAATTTCTGTCTTTCATCTTCCAATATGCAGATTAAGAAGGAAGGCTTAAAGGGTTATTAACTAACGTTCGTTCATAACCTTTTATAAAGGCGGAAAATGTAAAATGTAAAATAATCAAATTAAAGGATAACAAAGCATTAAAACTAAACTGTTGAAAAATTTTAAAGCAGTTTTTTTTGTTTTCTGTATTTCCCATATGAAAGTTGAAGAAATTTTTTTTATTTTTGTTATTAAATGAATTTTAGATAATTAAGAATTATATGAAATTTTTGGAGACAAATGATAAAATATGTTGAAGCCAAAAGGAATTGTATATTTCATAGGTCAATCAATCGTAAATTTAACGAATCTTTTAGACATATATTTTAATGTGACCCCCTGAATCGATTTGGAAAAAAAAAGAAAGTGGAAAAAATATTGGTGAATGATAAATTCTAAATGGAACGAGTGAGTCATCTGAATTTTTATAGCGATATCTAATAACTTTATAAATCATTTAATAACATACATCCCTCATGAAACTTCTAAAATCTTAAATGAGGTGAACAGAGGACATTGAAATGGTGACCGCTTCATGTCTTTTCATTAATTAGAAATTAATTTCCCTATATTTCAATATTTCAAAGTACGATCTATTTTTTGTTCATGGCATATTTCAATGCTTCATTGATTTCATAAGTTCTTATGACCAGATTAATATTATTTGTTAATTCTTTCGTATTTTCTTTTTTAAGCCTTCAAATCTCTTTCGTTTCCATTATCTGATCTGTTGTTGCATTTAAAAATAAAAATCAACAATTAAAATTTCATGCAAAACGTTTAAGCTTTTCGCATTTTGAAAAATTACTTTCAAGCATATGTTCAACAGTAATTTCATCATAAAAATTATGGGAAGTTATTAGATTGGATGACAAAACTTTTGAGAAACTTTCTTTTTTATGATCAATCAATCATATTTAAAAATTTTAGCTTTTCACTTAAATTTTAATTAAAATATGTAAGGAAGTATTCATATTCTTTTGTTCTCAAAATGCATCGGAGAATGATTACCTGTACAACTCAATGTTTTATAGAGATTCAAATGCATTGAACAAAACTTTTTGCCTATTATCAGTGTTGATATGGCAATTAGGTTTGATCTTAAATCGAAGTGAATCATATCTAATTTTTGATTTTAACTTTTATTTCACTGCTGATAAAATTGTTGTTAAAGCTTAAAAGTTTTAATAATTAATGGTTAAAGCCAGATGAGTAATTCAACAGGAAGATCATTTCTCAAGAAGAAAACAAATGAAATCATCTTTTAAATAAAAACTTGGCTGAAAAGATCAATGACGATCGATAAACAAATAGTTGCATTCCAAACAAAAACATTTGTGATGGAGCAAAATGAATTTTATTTTTTTTGAGAAAATTTTGCAGTAATCTTTGGAAGTGTTTAGGCAATTAGCCGAAATAAAAAAGATGTGCTAAGAAGCCTAAGAGCTGAAAAGAATTCTAAATTGCAACTGGACAGATCCCTGAATAACTTGGTATTTAGTGAATAAAAATATCAAGAAAAATTCGGAATATCAAAACCTATTCATGAACCGAAAGTCACACACCAAACCGATCCATTCATTCTATTAGCATAAAAAAGAATTTAACAGCTCGATTTGTCGTCTGAATTCTCCGAAGTTAAAAAAATTGAAATTTGATTTTTTTTCTTGTTTTTAATTTTCTGCAAGGCTAAAATATAAATGATGAAAGAAGTTTGCTTCTGAATTTGACTTTCAAAAGAAAAACAAATAAATATAGTTGTAAAAAGGTATTATTCTCTTTTCCTTTTATTTTAAAATGTGTTTGGAATTAACAATGTGACTTTAAATTACTTTTTGAGTTTCTTTTTTTAATGACCATCAATTCGCGGTCCAGTAATCAAAATAAGTTGAACGTTAATTTTTAACTGAGAGTAATCTGATTGATCTGATTGATATTTTTGTTCAAAATATGATCATAATAATTTGATCTAAAGTAGCTATTGTCGGCGATAGTAACGAAATGCCAGAGTTTAATTCTACCCATTGCTATTACACAAAATGATGAGATATTCACTAGATAATAAAATTATGTTTTAACTATTCTTGGAAGAACAAATCTTAATTTCAACAGCAATTAAATTCCAGTAGTAACTTCATTTGTGCAAATCATTTTACACCAAGAGAAGCCAAAAATTTTACATTAAGAAGTGCCGCCGAGAATACCATACTTGTTAATTTCATTCTCGTAATTCTCGTATTTCAGTAATTGATATTCCAGTTACTGACATTATCATACGGTTTCATTCTCATATTTCAGTAATTGATATCTCAATTGCTGGCATTATCATACAGTTGATAAGCAGTTGTGAATCCGAAATAGATCAATATCAAAACTGAATACCAGCCGTACGATAATATATGGCTGATCGTTATCTGCAAACTTCAATTTTCAGTCAATATTTCTGCAAATCTTCTTCATAAATTTTGATTTCAAAATTAAGCAACTCTAACTTCTAGAAATTCGTTTGATTTTTAATCAATGTTGATTTGTACACTAACTTTCTCAGTGAGTTCATGATGTAATGTCAAATATTTAAATTCGTTATAGTTCTTAATTTTGCTTATTTTGGATTAGAATTTGTGAAAAATTGAATCAGAAAAATATATTTTGATCATTCAAATTTAATTTTGTTGAAATTTTGACTTGTCAGATTGTTTTATACACAAAACATTGAACCAAATTTCCAAAATTTTTTCAAGATTTTTCTAGAATTTTTTTTGCTTTGTTTTTTTAAAAAATTATCAGGAAATATTTAAGTGCGATATTCATGTGGTATTCGCAGTTTCAGAATGATTAGTCTTTCTTTTCCTCAGAAACAAGAGATGAATTTCAACTTTTCTGCACGAGTTAGGCGTCTCGATAAACTTAATTCTCTTCTATAGACTAAATGGTAGAGCAATTTGTTAATAACTTGTAAGAGATTAAGAATTTGCAGTTGAATATCTGCCTATCATAACTAATTGACAACCATCACAAGTTATCTCTCTATAAATAAAAGATTACAAAACTACAAAACCATTACTAATTGTAAGAGCATCAGAGGATAAAGCAATATCGTTTCGACTAATCGACATTTTGCGCCTTTGAAATCTTTTTGAATTTGCTTTTTCTTTTTTTTCATCTTAACTATTCATTTTAATAGATCAGATTTAAGAAATCTTTTTTTAGAAAGTGTGTCACATTTATAGATTTTGGTTTGAAATTTCATGTGTTTTTTGTTTAGCATTCCAGAAATACATTTTAAAAGGTTTCTTAGTTATCGCTTTGTTGTCGGTTAAATTTTGAAATTCTAAAGGAACAACTGTCCTCTTCCTTCGGGTGTTCCCAAGAACTCTGTTTTTTGTTCTTTGCCTTTTTGCTTCACTGAAACTAATTAAATGTTTTCAAAATGCAAAGAGTCTGGAGAAAAATGATTTTGAATTTTCTGTAATTGCTAACAGTTGGTATTGATGAATCGTTTCTAGACATAGCACAATAAAATGCTACAGTATATTCATTGTTCTTCCAGTATGGTTTGTGATAATAATCATTTATCATATCATTCTTCCTTATTTCTTGAGTCATAGTTATATGATTGCTTCATTGTTTCACAATTTCTATTCTATCAAGAAATATCTTATTTTCAATTATCATTTCATACAATCATGAAAGATTTTCTGGAATCATAGTCTAAAAATCCTAAACTTAATTATTTTCTGATTTCTTGACATCAATTTGCCGTCTGCTAAAAACTAATATCTAAAGATTTTTTTCAACTGATTCAGTAAGGCGAAATATTGTTTGAGGTAATATCACGCGAAAACCCGTCGTCGCTTTCCTATATATATGATTTTATTTTCTTTTTGGATGAATTTCTATGTTTCGATTATTTCTGCCATAAGATTAAAAGCCACTCTAATTTATCGATTGAGGCAATTTAATACAGCAATTTAGCAATTCAGTAGAATGCTTCTCCTTCCGTTCGATTCATATCGGATGCGAAAATATCTTTACATTGATATCAAAATTTCTTCACTCATAAGCTTACAGTTACGATCTTTTTCAGTATGAGGGATATTTTTCATTCATTATATCAAAATTTAATTTGATATTATCATCTTATTTTTTGCTGCTGCGATAATTATCAGCTAGCAAAATAAGCTGTTTTTTGTTACTATTATTGTCCAATAAGCACAGCAACACTAATACACTGCTCAATTTGAAACAATTTGATATTGGTAGATGAAATTTTTTGATATTTGCAGTTGGGGAGCTTTCGTCCCCAACATTTTGCATCATCGATCGATTCATATTTTGAGCTAATGTGATATTATCTCAGGGCGATCAGGAAGAGAAATGTGAGAAGTAGATGATGGTGTGTGTCCATTTCATTCTTCATTTTGATAATTAGGCAATAGATGTTTTCTCATATCTCCATTCATAAACAATACTTATTGACCTTAGAGGTCAAGATGAGAGGATGGAAAGCGAAAGAGAAGGCAAAAGTGGAAAGAGGGAAGATTGAATTGTATTATCTAGAATTTGTTTAGCGAAAATAATGACCCCAGCGACGGTAAACTAATAATCTTTTTTCCCATTACATTTGCTTTTTTCGTATTACTCTCAACTTTTATCATTTCAACGTTGATTCACTAAATGATAATTTTTCCTTCATTGATCCCAAAATAAACTTTTAAAGCTTTTTGTTACAATATTTTGAATGTTACATTTGTTTCTACCATTTATTTCTTCATAAAATATTATTGCATTTCAGAGTTTAATTTAAATCAGCATGTTCTCTTATTTAATTTATTTATATAATATCATCAAAGAAACAAAAGAAAACGGTGCACATTACGATTTAAATAAAAGAAAGTTCACGAATAAAATGAATTATGAACATTTTTAAATCTTTAAGAATTGTCAGATTCAAGCAATTTGTTTTTATAACAATGATTTAACTAACTGATTTCCACACAAAATCAGAAATAATGCATCTGAATTCGTTAATATTTCGGTTATTTCTACACATGAATTATGCTACAATCCATTTATTTGTTGATTTTACATTTCAACGTTTATTTTTTATCAATATCAAACATTGTTTTAACATAGGAATTATAGCAGTATTGGATAAAAACAATGCTGATACGTTCCGTGATATGGACAATCACAGTTATCGCTTGTGTCGTAGCGAGATGGGCAAGTTTTTGGCTTAGCTAAGGAATTTGTTTTATATAAATTTCTACAACTCATTAAATTGAGCAATTATGGACGCTTAACATTTATGAGAATCACACAAAATGCACAAACATTTCTCTTACAAAAGAAAATTTTCGCATTATCAAAAAAGTTTGATCTAAACATGAAGTTTTTTCTTTTAGAAAAGCCACTATAATATATTCAAAATTTAGTGATGTTAAAAAAATTTATCAAAAATTTTTCGTAAAGGAAATAATGAACTGTTCAGGACAGTTATGGGAGTGCATCTGATGTGCTGGAAGCAAATTCAATGCAAAAGAAAATGGCGACATCGAGAACGAAGCGGCATTTGCAAATGAAATTAGAAACTGCGAAAACTATTGGAAAACTTAACGACGATACTACGCTCACAAGGTATTTAAAATATATAAACAAAGTTTTTTGTATTTACTATTTTAATCGAACTTTAACCTAAATTAAGGTAATAAGAATAGGGGAACAAGTTGAATTGAACAAACTCATAAATAACCAAATACATTATTAATTAAGTAAATGAGCCAATGAAGAATAAATCAAGATTTGGTTAGTGGATGAGTGAAGAACTTGGTTAAGTTTATCATTATAGGAGTTAATTATTAAAATGATGAATTACAGAGACGAAAGAAGCGTTGAATTGCATGACTGGCTATCGCAAGCGCAGAAGCAAGAAATTCGAGAGGTAAGTTCAAAATAAAATCTGGGAAGAAATTTCGAAGTTATGATGATAAATTCAATCGTATAAAAAAAAGGAATAAAAAAATTTTTCCTAGATGGAATCAGAAGGAGGCGAAGTCGTCAAGAAAATACTGGAATATTTTTCCAAATTACCATCTGAGGAAAAAGATAAATGGAATGAAGTCTACAAGAAACGATGTAATGAATGGATTAAGAGGGTAGGATAAATTTAACTGAAACTTTTAAAAATTTGTTTTGAAAAGTTTTTATTTTGTAATGTCAAATAATCAGTTCTTATTAACTATTTGTGTTAAGCGCAGAAAGCAAATTTCATATGTAATGAATAAAATGTTTAGGTTGCTAACAGTAGTCAGATAGCTGAGCTCGGGGATTTGAGGAGTAAAACTGATGTCAAGGAATATGAAGCAAAATTGAATGAGTATAAAAATCGTTTACCAGAAAACGAACAAGATCAAATCAATCTGTGGCTGGTACCTTTTTTAAAATGTAGGAAATAAATTAAAAGCGCAAATTCAATAAGAATTGAATTATAAAGAGGTTTGTTTCATCGCTTTTATTAAAAAAACATTCTTTTATTTACTTAAAATCAAAACTTACTAGGATGGTTGCAACAAGTTGAAAATTCTGAATGCCCAACGAAATACACTTCGCATGCTGCTTCGACGTGATTTATTTCAAAATAATGAAAATGTTCATCTCTTCTCCAATGAACAGATTGCTTTCTTAGAGGACATGAAAGCTAGTGGAGCCAGTGAAGAAGACATTAAACACAAAGTAAATTCATTTTTGCTTCACGTCTTTAATGTAGCGTTTTTCTAGATTATCGCCTATAATTTACTAAGCAACCAAATTTCTTAGCAGTATTGCTTATTCTGCAGCATATGTTTAGATCATGTCAATTTAGTATTTATATTTGAGCAGCTTAAAATCCGAAATTAAATATCATTATGAAAAACAATGTTTCATTTTGCTATGATTTGTGTGAATTTCTTGCAGATAGAACAGTATTATTCGGCATTTCCAGTGTACAGAAGAATGGAATTGGATTTCCAGTTTAAAACGAAATGTGTTCAATGGATGCGAGAAGTAGCAAGTTTTGACGAAATTCAACTGTTTCTCAACGCATTTGAGGTTAAACAATTAATTTTTAAAGTTGGCAATTTTGGAGCTCAAGTTTGAAATTGAGATTTAGAAATCTAAAGTGACAAGAACTTCGAATAAATTTAAAAACACAAAATATAATGATTTTACATGCTCACCTTTATATTATAATCGATTTGGTTGAATGGTAAGCTTACCTTTTTTTAAGTGCATTAATTTTCTCTTACCAAATTAAAAAAAAAACTTGATATTCATACTCTACCTTCTGGTCCATCCATATCATGTCCAATTTCTGGACAATTCCAACTTTCTTAAATGTTACAAGAACATGATGATCCCTTACTATCCTTATTGCTGTTATTCTAAATTAAATTAAATTTGCAGAGAAGTCGATTAGTTTTCAATACCTTGTTTGATGAATATTTCGAACGGTTATCTAAGGAACAACAGGATAAACTACATTATATTAAAGGTTATTAACAAAGTGAAGGATATTTGTTATTCTGTTTAAGCGGTTAGCGTAAAAATAGCATTGAAAACAATACATTCAGTTAAAAATTAGCATTTTAAATTTTCTTTAAAAAAGAAAAAAGACCCATTTACAGACAAATGTCGTGAAATGTGGAGGGAGGTAATGAATTCCAATCGTCAGAAACGTTACGTGAATGAGGAATATAACGAATGGATATTATGGATGACCGATGAACAAAAGCGTGAATTGCAAGAGATGCGCAGTAATGGATCATCATTTGATGAGATACATAAAAAAGTTAATGGACATTTTCTTAAACTTTCTGAAGCAACGCAGAGCGATCTCATTAACGATTATAAGGTATACATAACTAACATTCATCAAATGATAATTTTATCAAAAATTTGCTTTTCAACTTCAGATCTATTTTCATTTCTCATTCCATCCTTTCTTTCCTTTCTTCACCCATATCTCTCTAGCTATGATAAGATTAGATAAAAAGATTCGCTTATAGAAAAGTATTTGTTATAATTTGAAATAATTTTATTCAACTGAATTTCAGTGAAAATTGCAACACTGAACATAACATGTTGTCCGCTTTATAGGAGAAATGTAGGAAATATTTTGTGACTATGGCAAAGGAAGACGAAATTGAAAAATTAAGTACCATTCACGGTGAGGCGAATCACAAGGAACACAAAAAAATTATTGATGAAATTTTGCATCGACAACCAGAAGATATACGAGACAAGGCATATAAATTTTATCGGGTAATTCAGTTTACTTTTCTGTTGATAAAACCTTCATGGATGTCATCTTTTTCACACTTGTGTTTATGAACTTTCTTCTTATATCATATGCCCTAATATTTCTTGAAAAATGAAGTAAGATTATCGTCCAATTACAATATTTGAATTTAAGAATAGAACGTCGAATAAGTCACAAATATAAAACTTCAAAGTGATATTTGAGTAATAAATTTGATAGAGTTTCATCTATAACCAGGCTATTATTGTTTCTGGTAGAATATGTGATAATAGTCAATTCTGAGCCAAAAAAGCTTCCATGTCTAATTCTGGCGAGTACAAATCAAACAGTCATGAGTAACTGCATTTACCTTTATCAATGCGACTTCATTAATAATTATGACAACATGTGATCTTAATGGATGAATACTATCACAACATTACCATACAATGTATTGTGATAATACAGAAATAAATAACAAATTTCCAACTGAACTATATAGATATAAGTTGTTGAATTCTGACCAGAACGTTTTGTGTGCTCAAGCAGGTCAGTTGTTACAATAGTGTTATCGACTCTTTTTGTTTCCATTTGTGTCCATTTCTTTGTCTGCATATTCGAGGGATTGTTTCATCTTTTATTTGTTTATTCATTAAAATAATACTCAAATCGTCAGCTTCTGTAACATACAATCTGAAATATCTGATAAGCTGTAATAGATGAAATTAAGAAGATATGATATTCGATGCGTATTCCATCGTAGCTTATACTATTATATTTTTTTAATTGCTCTCATTTCAAATCTTTAAAAGTTTTGATATTTACAGATATGTGATAATGTGTATCACAAACAGTTTGGTCGACCAAAGCGTGATATTGATGCTCTGATGGAGAAACACCTCCAGTGGCTTACATCTGAGCAGAAAGCAGAAATTAGACAAATGAAAACAAAAGGCGAATCAATACCAGCAATTAAACAAAAGTATCACATTTAGAATATGAAAAACACTACAAAAACTGATTTTTATTAGATATGTTTGAACAAAATTTAATGCTGATCTGCATTAGAAATTTGGAGAGATTTGGAAACTTCTAAGACAAACAAATTGGCAGATTATATTCTTTAAATCAATTTCAACTTTGACAGTATAGAATACGCCATATCTTTTGTATAAAATTTTAAATTAAATTTTGGCTATACGAAATTTTCAGCTTTAACTTACTCTGACCTATGAAAAGAGACGCTTCAGTTCATAACCACCAAAAAATTACAGTCTTGCTTTGCTTATCTTGTTTAGATTACTCTCCTACATCGAAGGTATGGATAGTGATAAACAACTTCATGTCACTGAAAAAACCAAGCAATCTTGCTATGCATGGCTCGAGAATGTAACCTCCGTTGAGGAGAGAGCCGAATTAGAAAATTTACACCATACCGATCATTCCGCCTGCAAGCAAAAGGTATCGTGAAGAACCTGTGACTATTAGCTATTAAACTTGATGCACGCAAATTTAATTTTCATATTAAATTTTAGATAACTTTGCAATAGCAAAATTTCTCTAAACTTCCTGAATTTTATCTGCTGATCTAATTTCAGTAATTCATCTTAAACATTCTATATATTTTAGAATTTTTTACAGAAAACACCTAAAGAGTTTGACTCGTATTTCGAGTAAGAAAGTAATGTAATTTAGATTCGAGAGTACATCAAGCGTCTGTCAAAAGAAAAGCGGGAAGAAGTAAATAAAGATCTGGAAATATGCGAACATATTTGGTACAGTGAAGGCAATCATGGTCCCGAACGTCGACATCATCATCAGCAGCATCGAAGAGCCCGATGGCTTTCTTCGCAAATTTACCCCGAAATTTATAGTCGAAGCAAGCGGGACAATCACGAACATAGTTTGGAGGCCTATTTTCATACACATCTGAACTGGCTTACAGATATTGAGAAAGATGAAATCAGAAAAATGAAACAGGAAGGAAAACCGAAAGCAGATATTCAACAGAAAGTTCTTGATTACTACGAAAAATTGACAGGTGATGCAAAGGAGGAAGCCGGTGAGAAACTTCGCGGAGGTTGTCGTGAATTATTGAAGCAAATCGTTGGTGATGAAAAGATGGCTGAATTAAAACAAATGAAAGACTCAGGAGTTGGTCTGGAAGAACTCAGAGCAAAAGTCGATGATATGTTGGGACATGTTACTGACGAAGCCAAAAAGAAAAAAATTCATGAATATGGCCCTTCATGCCGCAAAATATATGAGGATCAACATCATGAGCGTGATTTGGAGGGATATTTCCGGACGTATTTGAGCTGGCTTACGGATAATGAGAAAGATGAAATCAGAAAAATGAAACAAGAAGGAAAATCGAAAGCAGATATTCAACAGAAAGTTCTTGATTACTACGAAAAATTGACAGGTGATGCAAAAGAGGAAGCCAGTGAGAAACTTCGCGGAGGTTGTCGTGAATTATTGAAGCAAATCGTTGGTGATGAAAAAATGGCTGAATTAAAACAAATGAAAGACTCAGGAGTTGGTCTGGAAGAACTCAGAGCAAAAGTCGATGATATGTTGGGACATGTTACTGACGAAGCCAAAAAGAAAAAAATTCATGAATATGGCCCTTCATGCCGCAAAATCTATACGGATC